TTAAGTACACAGAGCTTCAGGACAGACTCATAGCTTGTAGAGATGAATTTCACACCACCTTTATGTCTCACGAACTGTACTGTTATCATTTTTGCTAGGATCTTTTGATGATGGAGCAAGTAAAAGACTTTGCTGCTAACGTGTACGAAGCTTTTAGTACCCCCCAACAACTGGAGAAATGACTTTCTTCCTTCAAGAAGAGCTAGAATCCCTCTACACTTAAATCATCTATACCTAGAGTGACGATTTGCAACCAAAATGCCTAATAAAACATATTCTTAAGCAAAGTCTTATTTCATAACGAAGTAGATTCATTTAGCACTTTATTGTATTTTTAATTCATCAGCAGTCTACTTCATCACGTGTATCTAACTGGTGCACAAAATTACAACACCGGGATCATTCATGATCCAAACCAAGCAGATAACTTTATATGTGTGTGTAATGGAATGTGGTGTCCTTTCACACATATAATGAGGGGAAGTCTGTCTTGGAAAGTAGACCTAGGGTGTGTGGACTCTGAAGATAGAATGTTTGACTAATCATGAAGTTTCCTGGACTCTGAAGTCAGACAGAGCAAGCCAGATTCTCTCCAGTCACGTGATTTGTCTCACACACCTTGACAGAGGGCTTATCTTCTAGAAATCAGTGCATTTTAAAACCTCTGATCAACTACTTTTTCCTTTGCTATTTTTTCTTCAATATTTATTTGCAGAATTTTCTAAAGCTTTCTTAGCAACCCTTAGAAAGTTGCATATAGATTTACAGGCTAATGTTATGTTCATGTTGTTTACTCAAATTATTAATTACAGTTTCATTCATTTGTGTATAAGTAATTTTAATGGCTTTGTATTGATTTTGAGCACAACAAATAACTTGTTGCAATAAATTATTTTCATAAAATAGAGTTTTGTTCAGTTAATACTTTTCAGCCATTAATTTATTTTATTTAGTAATTTTTTTGCCATTTTTCTAAGAGAGCATGCTAGTTTTAAGTTTTAACTGATAGTTGGTGCTTTCTTCTAACTTTTTTCTTTTTCAGAAAAAATGTAAATAAAAGTAAATTATTCCTTGTCTCTAGTCAACTGTGGTTCTTCAATTTGGAGGCCATTAAGGCCTAACTGACTGAATCAAGTGTCAGGGATGGGTTAGTGACATTCGGTAATACTGTTTTGAGAACTTAGTTTTATGCCCTCCCACATAATGTAATGTAGCTAAGCAGGAGATGGTGGAAAATGGATCGGGAAGGATTTCGTGTGTAAAGATGACAAAGGGGACACGCTTTTAAACCCTGAAGAGACACCCTGATGCTGCCCTTTCTAATGCAGTAAGAAAGAAGCTGCACTCTGCAACATCAGGAAATGGGAATGTGGAATGGGGCATGCATCTCTTCCGTCAGGGAAACTGAGATTGTACCGCCTTGTCAGAGGAAAATTGTCACCCGGAACCAGCAGTATCTGTAGAGTCAAGACCATTGAAGCGGTGGCAAGGATTAAAAGAAATGAAAAAAAGTAACCTATGAATTTAGAGTTAATTAACATTACATATTTCTAATATGCTCCTGATAGTGTCAGAACAGTTTAGTTAACCTAGAAAATGATTTTAAACGGGCTATTATCAATCCTTAGCCATTTTAACTTAAAATCCAAGCACTTAATTAGCAGATATTTCCATAGTAGCTCATCGTACTTTTTCGGGTGCATCCACTGTGTCCTCAGTAGGATTACTCAGATTCTTTCTTCTCTGTAGCCTTTGTTATACTTCCCATTTCACTTACATTGAACTAATATTGGGGTTTTTCTATTATTTTTATCTTTTTGTTTAAAGGCAACCCTCTGTCATCTAGTCATTCCACACTATTCAAACTTAGCTGTCAAGCAAACTGCAGCTCCCCAGTCATTAACTTATACAATCAAGATAATGAACTATTCCCCTGGCATAGTTCCTTTGTATTAGTCTCCTAGGGATGCTGTAACGATTTGCTGTTAATTGGATTACGTGAAACATCAAATCTCTTTTCTCTCACTTCTGGCGTGAAATCTAACACCAAGGTGTCGGCAAGACTGTGATACCCTGAAGGCTCTAGGGGAAGCCCTCCTGTCCTTTGCTTGTCTCCTTCAGATTGTGGTAGTGCCATCCCTTCCTTTGTAGAAACAGAGCCCTAATTGTGTGCTGTGCCCTTTTCTAAGGATGCTGTCCATCCCCCAGCCAATACGAGCTGCTTTCGAAACTGAATTCCGTTAACAGAGACGTTATGTCTGAGATCACATTTTAGAGGTTCAGGATGGACGCATTGAGCCCATTGCAGCCACACAACTACGCTTCGGTACACACAGCCCATGGGAATGGAAGGGAGTGTGCCACTTCTTTGCTTATCCTAGACATCAATCAGCAGGAAATGAGCCTCACTGAGCTAGTGCATGGCTAAATGGACATGAATTGCTTCTACTTACTTCCCCTTCAAGACACAATCTATTTGTTATTACACGTGTGTAAAAATTTGAAAGGCATTTTCTGGGGAGGGGGGCGGTGGAAATAAGGCTGTCAACTTTTTACCTAGTGGCGTTTTTTCACTTAGCGAAAGGAAAATGAAGTTTTTCCTAATTCAAAGCTGTTTGTGAACTCTGACCCTTTACAGCCATTGTGTTGCCCCTGTATGGCAACTCACAATTCATGTTTTGCTCAGCCCAGTAACCTAGCTTTGTTTGCCTTCAATATTTAGATAGTACGTGTAAATTAAAAGCTACCGAAATTCAAACAAGACAGCTTTGTACCTCTTAGTAACTCTAAGGAAAAGATTAGTTTTGTTTGGAAGGGCAAAAAGTTACCTGATGTAGGTAACTGAAGATCTGACCTTTTTTTTTTTTTTAACTATTCTTGCGATTCTTGTCTTCCATACCACAAATATTTTGAATCCTTATTATAGTATACTTATAGATGCAAATATAGTAAGTTTCACATGTAAGCAAGATACACCATGAATAAATTTGAATTTAGGCTCTCAGACATTTTGTTATATAATCTAGTTACTAACTGTACATCTTATCAGCCCCTCTGAATGCTGAGACATTTTACTATGTACCTTCCTCATAGCTAGTGTGATGGCTGATTGTCACTGTCTACTAGATTGAAATTGCCAAAATGAGTCTTTGGTCATGAACACTATAGTGAGAAGACTCACCCTGGAAGTCGCAGACAGCCTTCAGTAGGCTAGAATCCCACACTGAATAGAAACGATAGAGTGAGTGGAGAACAAGCATTCATCTTTCTCCTTCCTGACAACGTGGCCATCTGTGTGAAAGCCAAAGGAACATTTTAAGTTTTAGTTACTATGCCTAAGAGATCCATGAAACAAAAATACCTCTGATCTGCAAGCCCCTTGCCCAAAGACAGAAATAGTTCCTGAAATGCTGGAAGCTATTGTTTCTGAGAGACCCCTACACAAGTTTGTTTGACTCACCTACACCTGGTGTGTTTGGTCTCGTGGGTGGGAGGTTCGGGGCAGGAAATGCATCAGGATGTACGCTTGCCCCTGATTTAATGTAGGCAGCAGGTGTGCTTCTTCAAGAGTGATTTTATGAGATCAATTTAGTGAATGGTATTTTATTTGTCTCCACTTAAAGGATTTTTTTTTAAACAATCCATTTTCAGACATAACAAAAGATATGGCATTTAGAAATTGTTTTGCTTTTCATTTGTTTGGGATGGTCACTGTATGTAGTCCATGCTGGTCTTGCACATAAGATCCTCCTCCTTGGCCTCCCTAGTGCTGGGAATATAGGTGTGCGTTACATCCGCTCATACTGGACATCTTCTGCGAATGGGCTGTTTAGTCGGTCTTTCCTTAAACTCGTGTCAGAATCTCTATTATTTTGCCTCCTCATTCTACACGAACATTGCGGTGGTTTGCATGAGAATGGCCCCACGGAGGCTGGTGTGTTTGAATACTTGATCCCACTTGTTGGAACTTTGGCAAGGACAGAATGGGCCAACTTGTTGGAGGAGCCATGTATGCCAGAAGCCTGTACCACCTTTCCAGTGTCTCCGTGCCTCCTGCTTGTGGATCAGCATGTGAGCTCTCCAGCCACCCACCTCCATGTCCCTGCTCTGCGTCACATACTAACCCTCCACAGCCACAAGCCCAATTAAACTCCCGTAAGTTGCCTTGGTCACAGTGTTTTGTCACAGCAGTAGAAAAGTAATACAAAGATCTAAGGAGCTGTCTGTGGTTTGGATGAGGAAAATCCTCTATAGAATGAGGTAACTTGGTCTTCAGTTGGTGACACTATTTCCTAGAGGAAGTGTATCCCAGAGGGATTTGATAGTACAGAACCATGGTTCTTAACCCGTGGGGTCACAACACCCTTAAAACTATTGACATTATGATTCAAAACCGTAGCAAAATTACAGCTGTGAAGCAGCAACAAAAATAATTTCATGGTTGGGGGGGGTCACCACACATGAAGGAAATTAGAGTCACAGCATTAGGAAGGGTGAGAACCACTAGTGTAGAGCCAGCCTCACCATACCGAGTTCACTCTGCCTCGTCCTTCTGATGGAGGATGTCATTTCCGATTGCCATGCCTACCGGGGGCTGCACCTCTGTACCGTGACAGCCTCTTAACCCTCTGTCACTGTAAGCCAAAATAGATTCTGTATATTGCTGGGGTCATGGTGTTTCACCGCAGCAAAAGAAACCAATAACACCTTCCCAATTTTCAGCTATGTTTGCCTCATGAGGTGAAGCCCTCCTTAAAACATAACCCAGCCCTTCAGTCTCCTCCTGCCTCCAAACTTGGAGGGTATATATATATATATATATATTAAAATATTGATATATTTTTAATATTAAAGTTAAATGTCTACAGAAGACAGAAGTTTTATAAAAAAATAGAGGAAAGCTTTTATAAAGAAAAGGTAATTACTGGCCAGGAATGTTACACAGAGAAACCTTGTCTTGAAAAACTAAAAAAAAAAAAAAAAAAAACAAAAACAAAAAGGATCATTATTGAATTTATTGGAAACATACATCCAATGAAATTTATTACATACTGCCCTCATTTCATATGAGGGTTTGATAATAATGAGTGGGGGAGATCAAGCATCCTGGATGGTTTCAACAACAGGAAGTTATCCTTCCCACGCTCCAGGAGGCCAGAAGTCCTAGATCAGGGTGTTGGGAGATTTGGTTCCTTCTGCACTCTTCTTGGCTTACAAATGGTTGCCTTCTTGCCATCACTTTGCATGGCTTTCCGCTGTGTCCCTGCATCATAGGATACCAAATCCTATTGCATTAGGGATAGCCTTATGGTTCCGTTTAGTCTTAACCGTCTCTTTAATTGTTCTGTTTCCAAATACAGCCACAGTGAGGTGTTAGGGCTTCAGTATTAAGACTAGAACTTGGGAGAGACTTCAGCCCATGGCATCATCAGTTTCTAAGATCTCTAGAACGGATTGCCACCTGGGATTCAACGGTGAAATGAATTCAGCCAAGAGGAGCTTTTGTAGGAAAGCAATGAAATGTTCAGATAATAACCCGGGCAATTTAGGACGAGAGGGAGAGGAGGCTGTATCACCTAATGACTTGCTTCTTCTTATCATTTTTACCCTGATTTCGTTAATGTTCCTATTAAAAAACCTGCCATTTCCTGGGGTTAGAGGTACCTGTGGCATACGTCTCTCAGCTGCAACTTAAGTCACATTAGTTAGTGCGAGAGTCCATCCCCATTTACAGGGCATCTGATGAGAGCTCAGCTGTGGCAACTCCACTATGATCCCGCTTGGCTTTGAAGAAGTCCAGGTCAGTGGCATCCCGTGACCCAGTAGTGCTACCTGTAATTGGAAACACAGACAATGCAAATGTGCCCAAGTACATCACTGTGACATGCACTTTCTAAGGTCCATTTTTACCTTCAGCATCACAGGCTGATTTACATCTTACTTGTGTTCCCACGTTACCCTCAGGAAGCAAACAAACATGTAAAGATTAGGAAGGGAGAATGGAGTGCCAGAGTCGGGAAAATGCTTGAAGAGATGATGAGAGAGATAGGAAATAATTAGGAGCAGTTTGCCCTGTTAAGGCCTGCTCAGTTCTTACACAGTTTGAATAAATGCTCCCTTCTCCTGGCCAGCCCTTACTGTCAGATTCTCCAGTGACCTCCACTGGTCGGTAGCATATGAATTCAACCAATGATGCCTAGGATTGTTTTACAGTCTTGATTTTGTTTAAGGGAATTCACATAAGTAGTTCCATGCATACCCAAGGGTTATTTGAACCATATAGTATTTTATCACACGGATCAATACAAAACAAAACCCCTAAATGTTAATTAGTGCCATGCAAGACAAGGTTAAGAAGGATAACCGCTCCCATATCCAGGCTGAGACTATGCTTTAACTTTGGATCTGAAGTCAACCTCCAGTGTCGGAAATAAAATGTGGAAAGGGGAACCACGTGACACTTTACTCCAAAGAGGTTCTCAGCTCCTTAAGGGCCCCAAGACAAATCACAGTTATGACAGAAGAGTCATAGCATCTTCCTTTGACTCAGATGTGTTCTTGGTGAGGTGTCTTGGGGGAAGCAATTAGAGTTCTATGAAAAACTCATTTTCAGTGTATGGCGGGAACTTGAACACCACAGAGAGACTCTGAAGAATGACGCCTATTTTACATTATACATGGGAGGCAGTTTATAAGTTCAATTTCAAAAAACCGTGGCTGTCACTGATGCACTGTCCCCAGCATGTTTCAGTCAGCAATCTAAAGGGACAGTCAAGGTAAAATTCTTACCTCTGTTTCCCCCAGGCTACCTACGGGTTGTTGGAGAAATAGCTTTCCTGAGATAGGCCACTTAAGAAAAATAGCATACACTATTTTTCTCTCAGGTTTAGATGTGTACCTGTTTAGAAAAAAACAAACAAAACAGCACAGTTAAGTTATACCCCCATGTTTCTCCTTATTTACAGATCACGCCTGGAATTGTTTCATAGATATTTGACAATCTCACCCCTGGTAACATTAAAAGGCCTATCCTCCCACGCACCCCCACCTCATGGTATAAAAAGTCCAACATTTAAAAAAAAAAAAAAAAAGTTTTTGCTCTGTTTTGTGGCAGGGCCTTTTATGTATTTATTTTTGATTTTTCAAGACTTGTAGCTCTGGCTGCCCTGGAACTCACTCTGTAGACCAGGCTGACCTTGAACATAGAAGTCCTCCTGCCTCTATCTCTCAAGTGCTGAAATTAAAGGTGTGTGCCACCACCGCCCAGAGAGACGGGTTCTTAATCTATGCTAAGACTAGCCTTGAACTCACCACAATCCTCTAGCCTTAGCCTCGCCAGTATTGGCATTACAGGCATGCCGCCACACCTGGTTAAAAGGAAGTTCTGGGGAGAGGGTTTCATGAGCCCTGATCCCTCTCCACACGGCTTACAAGGAGGGAGATTAGAGTGTAGAGATGCTCAGGGCAGCCGCATGGCTTCCCACCTGCTGACTCCAACTCACAGGTTATGTGTATGTATAGTGTGCTTACTACTAGGGAGGCTACAGAAAGCCAAACACACCTCTAACTTTTATGTGGCTTAGGCTAGAAAAGACAGACAACTACAGAAATGACACAGTGCAAGTTTTGGAATAAAGGGTCTCTTAGGGTTTCTATTGCTGCGAAGATACATCATGACCATGGCCACTCTTATAAAGGAAACCATTGGGGCTGGCCTACAAGTTCAGAGGTTTAGTCCATTATCACCATGGCTACACACGGTGGCGCGCAGCAGCCATGGTGCTGGAGAAAGGGGCTGAGAGTTCTAGATCTTGATCTGCAGACAGCAGACCTGTGGTACTAGGCTTAGCTTGAGCAAAGGAGACCTCAAAGGCCACACCCACAGACAGCAACACACATCCTCCAACAAGGCCATGCTTACTCCAACAAGGTCACACCCCGGGGGCATGTTCTTTCCACCAACCACAAAGGGACTTTTTATTGTTTTTAAAGATTGGGACCTCGGACAGCTTCCTTAACGAGAGACCCACATTTAACCCAAGTCACAGCAGAAATGATAATCACTCCCGACAAAGATACATTCATGGGCTCACCCAATTTCTCAACACAGTATTTATAGAAATCTGTAAACAGTCCTCAGCGTCTGTGTTAGTGCTCAGGCGTCTGTACTGGCCTGTCCTTGGGGTTCTGACAGGATACGCCCTCAGCTGCAGCCACTAAGAGCACCACCTGTGCACATTCACTGTGTTCCCTTTTAAAAGGGCCCTGCCCACCTCCCCCACCCTCTCCCCCACCCGTTCTTTCTTTCTCCTTCTCTGCTTGTCTCCCCCCCCCACACACACACACACACACCTCTCTTCTGCTCCTGTCTCCAGAGAGGCTGGTCTCCCTGTCTCCTCCCCCCTTTTCCTATTGCCTTCCCCTTAAATAAATAAACCTTCACATGAGGTCTGCTTCGTGGCATCATTTTCTGTCACGCTGCTCACATACACCACAGTTGTAAGGCTGGAGATCCAGCATCGGAACACAGTTCCTGACTTCACGTGCCCACATTCCAGTGTAATAAACCAGAATGACCACATGAATGTATGTAAAGTACTGACTAAACATAAGGACACGGGCATGGGAGTCCCAGGCTATGTCTAGGTTAGGGTTTCTATTGCTGTGTCAAAACGCCGTGACCGAAAAGCAGGCTAGCAAGGAAAGGGTTTTCCTGGCTTACACTTCCATATGGCTGTTCATCACTGAAGGAAGTCAGGACGGGACCTCAAACAGGGTGGGATCCTGGAAGCAGGAGCTAATGCCATGGAAAGACACTGCTTGTTGGCTTGCTCAGCCTGCTTTCTTATAGAACCCAAGGCCACCCGCCCAGGGATGGCCCCACCCACCATGGGCAGGGCCCTCCCTCATTGCTCACTGATTAAGAAAACGCTGGATCTCATGGAGGCATTTCCTCAGCTGAGGCTCCTTGCTCTCTGATGACTCTAGCTTGTGTCAAGTTGACACCCAACACCAACCAGTACAATCCTAGCAAGCAGGCAGATCTCTGCCAGGTCCAGGCTAGCCAGAGACTATACAGAGGAACAAAATCATGCAGAAAGACAAGGCCTACTAGTGTTAGAAAAGTAGGCCTCGGTGCAACATTGAGCAGAATAGGCAGGGGCCATGAAAGCCAAAGAACAGGAAGGAAGCTCTGTGCACGCATGCGGGAAAGCCTTCCAGGCTGAGAAACAAGCTCAAAGCCACAGAGCACAAGTGTTCTTGCCTTGCAGCTAAAGCAGCAAGGGGTAAGGGGAGAGGGAGAGGCAGGCAGAGCAGACAGAGCAATGGTTTCAGCAGGCCAAGGAGACCTCTGTGAGCCCTTACTTCTCCCCGGAGACTAGAAGCCTTGAAAGAATTTGGAGATGGAAATACTCTAAGCCGGGCATGACATCAGCCTGGGTTACATCATGAAATGCTGACTAAATAAATAAACCATAAATCAATAGTTTTCTCTGATTGCTTTCTAGAGACTATATTTAAAAGGACCGGGGAAAAGGGCTTGGAGATGGTTCAGTTGGGAAACTGCTTGCCTCACAAGTGTGAGGACTTGAGTTTCAATCCCCAGAACCCACATCAAAATCTGAACACAGTGTTACACATGATCTCAACAGTGCCAAGATGAATACCTGGCAACGCACGTGTCAGCTCACCAGATCTATGGGGTGAAGTTTCAAGCCAGCTGGCTCAAGCAAAAAAAAGTGTCTGAGGACTGGTACCCAAGGTTACCCTCTGACGGACTTGTGCATGCTGCGCATACGTGTGACATTGTACCCACAAAGACCATGCACATGCCCTAACCACCCCCCAACAAAAGGCGTGATGGTAGAAAGCAAAGGACAGGGCTGGAAATGGGACGTGGAAACAGGAAACTGTGCTACATACGTGCCTGGAGGGTTTGGGATGTGAGAAAGAAAACATTAGCTTAAACCCACATGTATGCTAATTTGACGTGACCATGGGTCTAGTCACACTTAGTGGTCCAGGGGCAGCCTCAGAAGGTACAGCTGGATTGGACCAATGGCGATCTTCTGCCAAATCCGTACAAGGGAGGGAGGGAAGGGAACTCAGGAGTTAGAGTGCATAGCATGAATTAACTGACTGGCAGGGCAGGCCACTTGACACCCCTAAACACTTTCCCATTCGCTCATCCTGCTAGCTCCTGCCTCTATGATTTTTAACTACTCCCAGAAATAATATTTGCCTCTTTCTGACTGAGTCCTTTCACTTAACACAAACTCCTGAAAGTCCCCATCCGAGCTGTAGCATTTCCTTCCTTTCCAGAGCCGGATAATATACATACACCATAGTGTGTATGCACACTCCTATAGCTTAATCGTTCATAAGTAGATCCCATTACTCTCACGTTAGTTTCTGGGAATAGAGCTCGTCTGGTATCATTCTTTTGCATAGATACTCAGAGGTAGATTGCGGGGTAGTGGAGTCATTCTATATTTAATGTTTAGGAACTGGCATTGCCCATCACAGAAGTGCTGGTTTTGCATTCTCATAACACTGCAGTATAGGAGTTCCAATCTCTCCAAGATCATCAGCTGTGCTTTTAAAACTAGCAGCTATTCTAAATGGGGTGGTAGTGGTGCATGCCTTTCATCCCAGCACTCGAGAGGCAGAAGCAGACAGATCTTTGAGTTCCAGGCCAGCCTGGTCTATAGAGTGAGTTCCAGGCTAGACAGGACCACACAGAGAAACCCTGTCTCAGAAAAACAAAACCAAAAAAATAGCTATTAAGGATGTGAGATGATTTCTGGTTGCAGTTTCATTTACATTCGACCCGAAGTTCCTAAATGGGACATTAAGTATCATCTTTGATGCTGGTCCATCATTGTACAAATCCTGTACCACAGCTAGTGTTTCTGTAGGGGCAGTTGGTACATCTTAATCTATTTTTCAGAGTGCTGCTTTGGCTAACTTTAACTTACTATGTGCTTTGCCTTTGGGAATTTCTTGCTTGCTAATTTGATGGGATTTCATACTGGGAAAACTAGGGATTTACTAGTGACTAAACACTAGTCTGCTTTACATTAAAGAACACTCAGTGTTCTGGCCTAAATATCTTCCGATTTTACTAGACACTGCCCACTACTAGGGGGTATCTAGGTATTATTTCAGCAGAATTTGATAAACGCTATGTTCAACGACACTAATTCTTATCCCTTCTGTTTGTGTTCGAGTCAAGTTGGAATATGTGTTACAGATAGCAGCAGCTCAGTCTCTCCTTTTAACCTGCTCTCTCTCTCTCTGTGTCTCTCTCTCCCTCCCTCTGTGTGTGTGTGTGTGTATGTATGTATGTACTGAGCTGTATACACAGCTGATATTAAATGCTTTCCTCTACTCAAACAGTACCTGCTAATCAGGAGAACTCACCACACATCTGGAGTGGTAGTGTCATTCTGAGACCTCCAAGGGTGTGTTTCGTAAATAGCCTCCCCATTGACTTTGAGCCACGTTCCCATCTGCCTTAATCGCTCCTCAAAAATTACAGGGATGATGCCATCTAGTGTGGGACCAATATTCATTAGAAGATTTCCTCCGCATGCGACCGTTTCCACAAGTTGCTAAAAGAAAAATTAGAACAAATACAGTTTGAAATAGAAGAAAATAATTCATCTCCCATGTGTCAATCCATATGTGTGTGCATATATATATACATATATACATATATATATATGTGTGTGTGTGTGTGTGTATGTGTGTGTATGTGTATATATATATATATATATATATATATATATATATATATATGATGAATAATCACTTCATTTAAAAAAAATCAGAGGATAATACCCTCAGTTTGTGGCACACTATCCCAATCAATCATAATAGAAAAGAAATCTTCGTAACCTCCTCATCACTAAGGACATCCCAGAGTCACAGCCCCTATGCCATATTTGACTATACCTTCACCAATTCTTCAATTGTAAGATAATCACGGATTCCAGCATCCCTCCTGTAGCCCCAAGAGAACTGATCTATTGTCATGCAGTTTTCCCATTTGTGGGGCAAAAGATGTCCAGGGTTATACCGGTCGCTGCAGGTATAGTAGCCACCATGCTTGCAGATGGAGCCAGCCCCCCAACGGTCATTGGTGACTACTGTGTCCCGAACGGGGCTGAAAGGGAAAGCAGAGTTTCTCTTCAAGGAAAAAGCACTCTTGGAACAAAAGGACATGCCACTACAAACAGAACCTCTCCAAATCCACTCCCTACAAATGACCATACGAAATCAGAAAGCCTGTGTTTCTGGTGACGTTCCCGTTTCTAGGCCTGAAGCATATTCCTCGGCCTTGTCTGAAGAATGAATTCTTTCGAGTTGTTACAGCACAGGTAACTGGCATATAACCGGAGCCCAGCGATGAGTGTGTGTGACACTGGACAGCACCTGAGGTTCCCATTCTCATGTTGTGAATGGTACACTAAGCTGAATTAATACTGAAGACAAGCCCCCCCCCTCCCGCCCAAGTCTAAATAGCCTTATAATCCTTCCTAGCCTTTCTCTTATAATTTGTGCCTACTATTGGAAAATCTCTGAGACACTGATTGTTCACATCATGTGAAATATACTCCCCAAATGTCTTATGTCTGCTGGATCAAGCACAGGGGATAGGACTCCATTTACAGTGGCAGTTTTGACTCACAAATTGAGGTGGTCCCAATCATTCCTTGATTACAAAACCAGTTTGGTTGTATTTGATTTGTTTACTCCTGATTAATTTTACTGGATCCTGACTAAGCTAATAAGCATTGTCTATAATGATTTCTTCCTCCCACACCACCAATGAGCACACAAACCACAGAAACAGAAAGGCCTATATATACTTGAGGAGTGTTGAGACAAGTAGAGATGCGTGATTGTACATACAGACCTTTCATTATACAGCCAGGCTAAGAACCCTGTGCTGTTCCAATAGTGATCTGGTGCTCCGCCATCTCCGTCTGACCACAGAACGTCCGGCTGGTACTTGTTCACTAACTCGTAGAGTTCAGGCAACGTCTTAGAAATGGGGAATTGCCGCTTCTGGAACGAACTGGATTTGTCCTCCAAGAAGAGTGGGTGGAACCATTCAAAAAGGGAATAGTACAGTCCAAAGCGCAAGTCAGTGTTGTTCCTGATGGCCGCCTCAAGCTCCTTGACAACGTCTCTCTTGGGCCCCTCATCAACTGCATTCCAGTTCCAGGAATAGTGTGACCCCCACAAGGTAAAACCTGGAAAACGACAATGGAGGCATCATCGCCTTGATGAAAATCATTGTTACTATTATCACCTTGACCTTGATAGGTTTCAAGCCATGAAACAATTCAAATAGAACACACAACGCAAGGCTTCTCCAAATCACCGGTCCTTGGCAGACTTTTCAGTCTGTCTTGTATTCATTTAAGCAAACAGATGAGAATGTAAATAATGTAAGATGGCAGTTTCCAGATGCATTGTAGGAGCTGTACACGCCATCTCCAGTTACAGATCTGAGGTTCTTGGGGAACAGCATGGTGTCATGGTGTCTGCAGTGGTTTTGGCTACACCCTCCAGCCAATTGTCAGCACAGCATGTAATGCAAAATAGATAACCAATAATAGTGGATGGTCTCTAAGAGGCACATTCCACAACATCACACTGAGCCATTATCTCCACTGTTTGGAGTGGAGCCCTAACATGAATCTTCTGCAGGATGTGTGTGCATCTTCTGGACCGATGGGTAAACCGTTGCTTGGATAGATTGCACTACAGCGTGATTCTCAGAATACCAGTGAAGACAGGAAGCAAAGCTCTGGTGCTTGATAATTTAAAGATTTAAAGATACACGATTCCCAGGAATTCTGTGCTTTTTACCTCCCTCATCTTACTCTAGAGCCATAAACTTGGTTATAGTTTTTTAAAGTACCCTAAAACAACTACTCTACTCATGAAAAAGGCTATGAAAAAAATAACACACAGTGTTACACTTTGGAACAATTCACATTTCAACAGGAATTGGCATTTTATATCAAATGTTAGAAGAGGTATATTAACTGAAGAAATAGTAGAAAATCCTCAGAAATTTTTACTCATGCCTTAGGCCCTTAAAAACTTCATTACTGTTTTATTTAAAACTACTTTTTTGTTTTTCTTTTGTTTGTTTGTTTTGCTTTTGTTTTTCAAGACAGGGTTTCTCTATACAACAACTTTGGCTATCCTGGAACCAACTCTGTAAACCAGGCTGACCTCGAACTCACAGAGCTTCGCCTGCTTCTGCCTCCCATGGATAGGCACTCACAAGACACCGTTGCCATTCACTTCACTATTATGTTAGGACATGCCTGGGAAATTTCTCCATCTTTAAATTTGTTGTAAGAAGGTCCTCAAATAGTTTGCCCTTTCTCTAGGATGTCTGCGGGGAGCTTGAAGGCAGTGTCAACATTTAAGGTCTGCCTCCGAACTTTCAGTCCAACAGGCAGTACAAAGACCACATGGTTCTTCATCCAGGTACATCACCAGAGCACACAATGACCCTCCTCCTAGCTGAAGTGGGCAGTACATTTTCTGTTAGCAGTGTTTGGCAGCTCAGGTCCTAGAACCCAAACACATCCTGTCTGCACCCTGCCCTCAGAGTCTAAAGCAGTGGTTCTCATGACCCCTTTGGGGAGTAGAATGACCCTTTCACAGGGGTCGCTTAAGACCATCAGAAAACACAGATAGTTAATTCCATTGCGATTCGTAACAGTAGCAAAGTTACAGTTATGAAGTAGCAATGAAAATAATTTTATGGTTGGGGGTTACCACAACATGAAGAACAGCATTGAGGAGCTTGAGAACCACTGCTCTAAAGGTATTTGGGCCTTCTTTTCAATGAACTTACTTTGTGTCCCATAGTTTGGGAAAGTTCCTAGACAGAAGGAAAACAACATATTCCCATCAGGAGGAAATTGTGCAACTACCGGACTGTGGCCAAAGGGGAAACGATTTGAGGTAACTGCAGGATTTTGGTTTCGGTTCATCTCGCCTGCCTCCTTCCCACTGCTGTGGAACATAACAAGGTGACTTCTCAAGATAAAGAAGATGATGCAAAATAAACTGCTTTGTGCGTTAACATGCGCCTGGGGTGACGTCAGCCAGTGCTTCTCTTGTCTTAGGGACACTGAGTGGTTGTAGCAGAACTGACTGATTCACAGCTCTTATGTCACCTTATATTCTTTTGATATTTCTGGCCACTATGATAAGTCTCCCTTTTCCCTTGGGGTCTCTTTCTTTCGCTACCAGCCAACTTACCCACTACTTGCAATATAAATGTTAGCCTCACGTACGGCCAACGGTGTGAGGAGTCTCGACTAAGGCAGTACAAACCTCATGATGGTTTTGCAGGATGCATTATAGAAAACCAGCAGTGGTAGGGCGTGCCTTTAATCCCAACACTTGAGGCAGAGGAAAGTGGATCTGTGAGTTTGAGGCCGGCCTGGTCTACAGAGTGAGTTCCAGGATAGCCAGAGGTACACGCAAAAAAAAAAAAAAAAAAAAAAAAAAAAAAACCCTGTCTCAAAACAAAACAAAGCAAAACCAAAAGAACAGGAAAAGGAAGCGTGGCTCTAGTTGTAGACTTTGGCTGCACGAAATCTCCTCAAACAACACTAAATAAGCCCAGTTATTCATTTAAATGGTTAGATGTGCACGTACATTAAAACTGTGCCCATCTTTGCTCTCATTCTGTGGTACTAGCTGGCTGGGTCCATAATGCTTTTCAGCTGAAGCGGGATGCTGGGACCCTTAAACTTTAAGCAACTGTCAATATCAACCTGCGGCTATTCTGAGAGAAGCCGGTTTCTTAGGATTACTCTGCTTTAATGTCTCCGCCTTACATCCCTGAACATTTGTCAGCATATATTGTATGTGCCCTGCTTACCTTCGTGATGTTTGGAAGTCAAGACAACGTATTTGGCACCCGAGGCCTGGAGGATATCTGCCCACTGGTTGGCATTAAAGTACTTGGCTGTAAATAGCACTCCAAAATCTTCATATTTAAAACCAGGGGGGTAATTATTGTTCATGAAGTCCACAAAGTTGGGTCTCTTTTCCTTTTGCCAATACCACCTGTGGAAGGAAAAGAAAAAGCACACATATGACACAAATAGAAATGCTTGAAGTAATTGCCCACACACACGCATGAACGCACGTGCAGATTATTGCCAGATTCTCTGTCGTCTCTCTATCAGTGTGAGACTTTGCTCTAAGGGCAGCTTATGCAAACCAATACTGTCTCCTTGTTCTCCATCTTGTCCCCTCTGATATCTCCACTTAAGTCCTAACATAATCCTTACTTTCGCAAATGAGTTCCCTATGGAACCCACATAGCTGAGATTTCAAAGCAGGCCTAAAACATAACGCACACCAGAAAACATTTTAGACAGATGGGGGAAACACGAGCAAACAAACAATCAGCATTGCCTCCCCTGAGTGGGAGGACAGCTTGGTGTGGCTGAGGCTACACTGACAGACCTCACAGACAGCAAGCAGCATGTCTGGTCCTGACCCAAAGCCACATGCTTACTTCATGCCATCCATCACAGCGACCCATGCCGCTAGTGGATCACAGAGATTCATCATACTTCACACCATTGATCACAGAGACCCATGCCTGCTAGTGGATCACAGAGATTCTGGGATTTCACTTTGTTGTTTTTAAAGACAGGGTTTCTCCGTGTAGCCTTGGCTGTCCTGGAGTTCACTGTGTAGACCAGGCTGGCCTCAAACTCAGGGATCTGCCTGCTTCTGCCCCCCCCCCCCAACAGCTGGGACTAAAGTCCTGCGCCACCTGGTGGTTGTAGAAATTATTAACGAAGAGAGAAACTGGCTTTCAGGTAGGGAAGAAGTTTATAACACCTGTCTGAGAACATCATGTGACTTTGAAGGTAAGGTGAGATCATGTGCCTGAATTATTAACCCTTTATTTGCCTTGTTTTTTTTTTTTTTTTTTTTTTTTTTTTTTTGCTGCTTTAGCACGGAAGGATCTTAATTTCATATTTCATACCTGATCCATGGAGGAGCCAAGAAGCACTCGTTTGTAAAAGATTGTATTTATTTTACTTTATTTACTTATTTTATAAGATGTGCATGTGTGGGAGGAGTTCAGAAGCATGGGATTTCCCCTGGGACCAGAGTTTCAGGTGCTTGTGAGCCTCCCAATGTAGGTGCTAAGGCGCCAAACTCGGGTCCTCTGTAAGAGCAGTATGTGCCTTTAACCGCTGAGCAACCTCTCCATCCCCTTTGAAGCACTATTTTATTATTATATTGTTATTAAATCCTGGGACTCTCATTCCCCTGTGCACACAGGCATTGCCAATGAGATACACCCTACAGCCAGACTCCCTACCGTGTGCCCAGGAACTCAGGGAAGCACACATATTCAGTGTTGATGCAGACGAGAGACCCGGTCCAGAAACGGTGTATTCAGCACCTGAAGTGCAAACGGGCTGGCGACTGACTGTCATTGCTTGGGAGACACAAAGCCCAGTGTGTGTGTGTGTGTTGGGCAAGGGTGTGCACTTACCAGAACCATTCACTACCGAAACTGGGCACGGAGAACACTCCCCAGTGGATGAAGATGCCGAATTTGGCCCGGTCGAACCAGGAGGGCAGCGGGCGGCGGTCCAGAGACTCCCACGTGGGGTCGTAGTGCGGGGGGCTCGTGGCCCCGCATTGTGACAGGAGCAGCGGCAGCTGCAGTAGCAGCAGGAGCGCCGGGCGCATGCGCACCATCCAGGGGACCTCTGGGCACCGCATGGCACCAAGATGGACAGCCCCAGACTTTCTCTACCAGCTCCCGAGCTGGCCAAGCCGGCCTTCCGTCTTCTGCCAAGTGTGCTCCGCCGCTGTCACCTGACCCAGGCCGGATTGGTCAGATGACCTACTGCTGAGTTCCCCGGAGAGTTGGGCGTGGCTGGGCGTGGCCTAAGGACCCCAAGGAGGTTGTGCCACGCAGGTGTGCAGCCACATTTTACCAGCCCTGGTTCTGTTTCCCAGGCAGACCCGATCTGCTCAGCCAAGACTCCGGGTTTGTCTGCTGTGACACAAAATCCCGAGAGTGATCTCTGACCGAGGCCTCTGACCTCCCTCCCCAGGGACTCTTCCAGAAACCTCTCAAGAGGTCAGCACGACCGCCTGGTCCTGCTGCCTGTGTGTGTCAGAGCTGTGTGTCCCACCGTGGGAGTGGACCCCGAGACAGAGCTGCCCCTCCCGGTCCAGAACTTTTGAAGCAGCCCCTAGGGCTCCGAATCTGCCTCTGCCAATCTCGAAAGTGCAGATGAAATCCCAAATTTTGAGTTCAGTCAGTCTGGATTGGTGGGGTCCAAGAATTGGCATTTCTACTCAGGCTCTTGGTGTTCCTGGTTTTGCTGGTTGGTGGAATAAACTTTTCTGAGAAACTGCATTAGGAAATAAGGCCTTCTGAGTAGAATGAGTGGTTAAGAAATTTGCATACAAGGAGAGGCTGGGGACCTGATTGGTTTGCTGAGTGCTTGTCTAGCATGCCATAAGTCCTGGGTTCTAATCCTTACACCTAATGAAGCTGGAGCAATAGTAACCACAGCGGTATAGAAGGGGAGAGAGGAGGGTCAGAGTTCAATGTCTTTGACTCCATAGACCCTGTCTCAAAAATGAGGAACGAGACCAGGCAGTACTCGCCCGTGCCTTTAATTCCTGCACTCAACAGAGGCAAGCGGATCTCTGTGAGTTCAAGGCCAGCCTGGTCTACAGAGTGAGTTCCAGGACAGCCTGGTCTACAGAGTGAGTTCCAGGACAGGCTCCAAAGCTACAGAGAAATCCTGTCTCGATAAAACAAAAAACAAACAAACACATGAGTAAAGAAGGAAGGGAGGTAGGGGGAGAGGATAAATGTCCTAGGTGGTGTGTGTGGGGGGGACCTGCATGCAGACTGGAAGAAAATAGCCAGACACCTAGAATAATTTCCAAAGAGCATCTTCAGGACCTCATATCCTCAAGCTTTTTAAAAGCTGGCCCAAAGCTGCAATCTCCACTGCTTTGGCAAAGTCCCTGTCCTATGTCACCTCTTCGGGGATGCTTCTTGCTGTCCCTCCAATAACATTCTATTCCTCCTGTGTGCCCCTGACACCTTTAACCATTAACAGAAGAATGCACAGGTGATTTCGGAGTTGGGTGGCCAGGGGTCACATTCCCCTTAGGCAGTGAACTTCTGAAGGGCGTCCACGGTGACTTGCTTGGTGCTGCGCTTTTCTGAGCTGCAGAGTCAGGCATTGAGCAACACTTATAATGCGCTTTCTGGAGTTCCTTGGTGAGCTGGAGTTCTCCTTACTGAACCAACAAAGGAGGAAGTAACACTAAGTAGCTGTTGCTTGCAGTTCCCTCTTCTGCACAGCTGGAGCAACAGATGCCACTGTCTCCACAGGCGTGGGGACACTGCCCCCTCCATGATGCAGACGGCTCACCAGGCCACCATAAGATACCTGACAAAAGCAGCTGACAGAAAGGTTTACTTTGACCTAAAGTGTCTGTATAGTGACGAGAGGGAGGCAGCTGGTGACATCCTCACTCAGCAAGCGGGCAGCAATGAATGCTGGTACTCAGCTCGTTTTCTCCCAGACATGGTATGGGTCCCACCTACAATTACCACAGGTGTCCCACTGTGGCGCTTTGAATGAGAACAGCACCCAGTGGCTCACATAATTGAATGTTTGGTCCATGGTTGGTGAAACTGTTTGGGAAGGATTAGGACATGTGGCCTTGTTGGAGGACCTGCGTCAGTAGGAGTCGGCTTTGGCCATGCGCTTCCTAGTTAGCTTTCTCTGCCTCTGCCTCATGCTTGAGGACCAGATGTGAGCTCCCCGTGACTGTTCCAGTGCTTCCTGATGCCATGCGTCCCCCCCACCCCGTGGCGGCCATTGTCTTCATTGGGGTTGTTATTAAAGTGATGAAACATCATGCCCAAAAAAGCAGGTTGGAAAGAAAGGGTTTATTTGGCTTATACTTGTGTACCACTGTTCACCATCAAAGCATCAAAGGAGGTCAGCACAGGAACTCAAACAGTGGAGCAATCTAGAGGCAGGAGCTGATGCAGGGGGCTATGGAGGATGCTGCTTAGTGACTTTCTCAACCCAGAACCAACATCCCAGAGATGGCTCCACTCACAATGGGCTGGGCTCTCCCCGTCAACCACTAAGTAAGAAAATGCCTTACAGGTTTACCTACAACCCAATCTTGTGCAGGCATTTTCTTCATTGAGGTTTTTCTCTCCTCAGATGACTTTAGCTTGTATCAAGTTGAGCTAAAAATTATTCAGCACAGTTATGGACTCTAATCTTCTGGAATTGCGACCCCCCCACGTTATATGCTTTATTTTATAAGCTGCCGTGATCATCATGTGTTCTTATGGTGACAGAAAAGTAACCAAGACACCCACCCCTCAGGAAACTGATCCACAATGCGCTCTGAGGTCTGTCTCCTAGGTGAATCTAGACTCTGTCAAGTTGAAAATCAATATTAACCACTGGACTCAAGGAGTCTGATGTGCTATGGACCACCACTGGCCCCAATTCCATTAAAAAACAGTGACAACTGTTAGAACCTGGTCTTAAAACCCTGCCTTAGTTCTATTGCTGTGAAGAGACATCATGACCACAGCAACTCTTCAAAAGGAAAAACGTTGCATTGGGGCTGGCCTACAGTTTGGAGGTTTACTCCATTATCATGGCAGGAAGCGTGATGACAAGCAAGCCGACATGGTACTGGAGAGTTCTACACTAAGATGGGCAGACAACAGCATTGGCTTGAGCTTCTGAACCCTCAAAGGCCACCCTTAGTGACACACTTCTTCTATCAAGGCCACACCTCCAACAATGCCACTCACACTGTGTCTGTGGGGGCCATTTTCACTCAAACCACCACAAAGCCCCAAACAACCTAATCTCTCAGTGGCTGCAGATCCCCAAGGCTCACTTGAACAAATAACAGACTTCCTGACCACTGCCTGCATCTTCCTAAGCAAAAGTCTGTTCAGTCAGTACAATATACCCTTCAATTTTGTGCCGTGGGCTGGGGGAGGTCTCATAAATTTTATTGTGGTGACAATGCAGTACTGGGCTCTAGATGAATCCTCTGCAGCAAAATATTTCATCTCCCAATAATTATTTTAGCGGGTATAAATTAGTTATATTTCCATGTAGTATTTCAGTTTGAGCCTGACCATCAGATCTGAGTTCCTGAAATGCCATTTTAGGTCATTTATATCATACATGAATGCAAAGGAGTACTGAGTTAGTACACACCTTCTTATTCTAAAATTATAGTCTTTAGGAAATACTAAAAGCATTGCAGCCCTCACTTAGCCCCCTCGAAGGTGCAGGAAAGCCCTAGACTCGCAGATTGGGATTCTAGCCTAAGATCACATGGAACACCAAATAGTATTGGAAATGAAAACTATTCTGGGGGATGGGCGCTAAATGACAGGAAAAAAAAAAACAAAAACAAAAACCTGTGAGATGTTCAGAACATGATCCCTGATGGAGAGGCCTACCTATAGTAGACTACGTGGAGTCTCTGCTCCCTGAACAGTAGCGCTGCAATACACAAGAGCCTCTGCACTTGCAGATGCCAAAATGGATCACCGGTTTCTCCAGGTATGTATGGCACATTAAAGAAAAAAATCGTTGGGGAGCCTTGGCCGTTAGCGGGGAGCACGGCTAAGGAGCCCTGATATGGCCTTGTTTGACCGGTGTCACCTCGAGGTGCCAGATGAATTAAGAATAAGGTCTTTGTCCCTTCAGCAGACAGGTCGCTCCAGGCAGCAGTAAGTGTTGACAAGTATGGGTGAGTAGGAGAGGCTGGAGGAGGGTGGGGGACGGGGAGTTTTCGAAAAATCTTGGTTGCTGCCAAGAGGAAGCAGTCCTGACCTTGCCATCCTTGGGGATGTCACCAGCTGCGGAGGGTGAAGCTGACATTTGAGCAAAGCCCTGGTGGGCCGCTGTGGATTCGCGTGTGCTAGCTGGACGGCGGCCACGATCCTGTATCAGCACTTCCCAGAACTGCTCTGAAGTGAGCGGTGGAAGATGTGAGACCTTTGCTTCACAGCTGACATCAGCACGCCGCCTCTGTCTTCCTCTTGAAGTGTAGGGGGAAAGCTCCAAGAACCAGCCAAGCCCTGTCCAGCCTTTATTTGGTAACTAACCCAGGTCCGTGATAGGACGAGTAAGTGATGAGACAGAAAGAGGGGGGAAACCTTCCTTCCTTTTCCTGGTCCATGGGAAGGAAAACAGAAACAAGGAGGAGTGTAGGGAAGAAGCAAAGAAGGCCACAAGGGATGAGAAGCGCCCAGGACACAGGCTGGGAGTGGTCACACCACTGGGTTAGCAGCCCTCTGATGGAGAGGCCCATCTGAGGTAGACTCCATGCCGTGTTTCCAGGACCAATGCTTTGCCAAGCCAGTCTTTGTGCTCAGAGCCTCCGTTCACTGCACAGTAGAGCCACACTGCCCTAGAGCTTCTACCCTGCACTTGCAGGTAGCGAAGGGGCCAAGAAGTCACAGATCCTTTTATAACGGCGAGCTAGGACGATCATGGCTGATGGAGAAATAGGGGGAACTTGGGGGAATGGCATTCCCTTCCTGATTCCCATTTAGGATTTCATGGTAGCGTGTAGGCTGATGGGCAAACGTAATAATATTGGAGTCCCATTAGACACAGCAGGTATTTTTATTTTTCCTGGAATGACTTTGATATTTGAGTGACAAATACAGGACCCAGAAGTATCTGGAAACATCGCACGATATCTGGCCT